TGCGCTACCATGCCCGGATAATTTTTTGATTTATTGTAGAGATGAGGTCTCGCCTGCCCAGGCGGGTCTCGAACCCACGGGCTCAGGCAATCCACTCACCTCAGCCTCCCAAAGGCGCGGGATTACAGGCTGAGCCACCGAGCCCGGCTATACTTTTTTTTTAATGACTTATTGTAGAGTCAAGGTCTCACCATGTTGCCCAGGCTGCTCGTGAACCCGCAAACTCAGGCAATCCTCTTGCCTCAGCCCCCCAAAGTTCTGGGATTACAGGCTTGAGCCACCAAGGCCAGTCTGTGACAAATCTTTATGACATTAGAACAGGAGATGCCAATGCAAGATTCTGAACATCTAATTCTTAATGTGCTACACAGAATATTTCCAGACTACATGACACAAAAGACAAGGGTGATGGACCTAAACACTGAGCCTATTCATGAAGTCTAGCGAGAGCAGGCTGGAAGCAGTGGAGAAGTTATTTTACCAGAGGACCATGGGAAAGACAGTATTCCATATCTCCAGGCACACCAATTCAAAGTATATATTCTAAGAGCTGTCAAACATTTCACCTCACCTTAAAGAGCATTATTCTAAGTTTGGTTTCAGTCAATTTTATTGATAAATAGAACAAATGATTATAAATCTGTCTATATGTTCAAATTCAGAAACAGAGTTGTTATATATTTCATTGAAACTTTCTAGAGTAAACATGTTTTTTATTATTATAATTTTTGTTTTGTTTGACTTGTTGTTTTTAGTTCTTTATATATATATTTTTTTTTTTTTACCAAATTTAAGAAACCCAACTTTTAAGGGAAAAAGATTACTCTACATTTCTTCCTGTACATTATTTATTGAAATAAAAGAAGTTTCTCCTTGAACATTTGTGCTAAAAATACTAAGATTACACTGCCTGTATGTCTAATTCATTTTTAAATTGAAAAACAGATTTGACAGAGCATGAATTTAAATACTTTTTAATATTTCTGTAATGAGAAAAACATAAATAACTAGAAAGAATCTTGTATTTAAGTGTTTAGCCAAGCCAGTGAGTTGATTTAACAGAAGAGATTTGGAAAGTCTGGAAACTCATTGTTAATTCTCACTTCTTAGATTTTTATATTTGACTCCAAAGTTAGTTATATTTAATAATCTTATGATTCAATTAATAAATTAACTTAAGTCAAAGATAAATTATATAACTGAAAATTTAAATGCCAATCCTTCTCAAGTTGGATAAAAAAGTTTAGCAATTTTTTTTTTTAGGGTTTAACTAATACATCTTTAGGAACACAGTCCACCTTCATTATGAGGAAGGACATTCAGATTTCAGATCATTGATGATCAACAGAATCTTGCCCAGTATTTTAATCATATACCTAGTATTAAAATCAAGATATGGATTGCCACTCACACAGAGATGACTTTAAAGAAAACTCAGTCCACTCACCTTGGGGTGCTATCAGGGTTCTTCCATTCTCCTGACACCAACCAATTGGCTGGACATAAGGACTATTAACATCACACCTGCAAAAACAGGATTCTAATTTATAACCTACGTTACCCAATGACAGAGAAAAAAATCCAAACAAAATGGCCATTCTGGATACCAAGAGATATCACAGAAAGGTCAGGTGCTGTGGCTCATGCCTGTAATCCCAGCACTTTGCAAAGCCGAGGCAGGAGATTGCTTGATCCCAGGAGTTCAAGACCAGCCTAGGCAAAATAGCAAGACCTTGTCTCTACAAAAAATTAAATAATAGTCAGGTGTGTGCCTACAGGGGAGGCTGAGGCAGGAGAAAAACCTGAGCCCAGGAAGTCAAGGTTGAGGTGAGCCATGATCATGCCACTGTACTCTAGCCTAGATGACAAAGTGAGACACCAATTCAAAACAGAAGAGAAAAGAAAAAAAAAAAGAGATGGAGATGTCACAGAAAATAGTATTTCATAGCTGAATAGAATTAGAAGTAATTTTTCGTACTGTGTTTGTAAGCTGTGTGACCAAACTACTCTTTTATATAAGCTTCCTGAAATGTAAAGTATAAAATAAAGGAAGGGTTGACAAGGCCCTGAACTGAGTGATACCCCCAAAGAGTGAATGTTTCAAAAACCCTCTTCTACCACTTCTTGATAGTAGCAAGGGAAAATATTAATAGGACCATCCAAATTTTAATAGGACAGTCCTCTCACACTTCAGATGGCTACACTTTTCCTCCCTTTCCTTTTAAAAAAAAAACAGAATCTTTTACCTGAGACACATACAACAATAATTGCTCTCTGCTTTGCTTCTTAGTTCAAAGGAGACAGGGCCCCATCATGCATGTGAAAACAGCATGCCTCAGGCAGGGACTTGTTGATATTCAGGACATGTGTGAAGAAATGCTATAAAAATTATTTTTGCCATCACCTCTTCCATATTTCAGGACAGAAAACCTTTTCAACTCATGCAATGTTAGTTTAATGACTTTGTAGCACACATTTTCTCTGTTCCCCACAGGCTTTCAAAGAATTCACTTCCATTCTCCCAGAATCTATCCTTTTAAAAATATGACAGGCTTAGTTTAACATTTTTCAGACAAAAAACAAGTACTATAAGTTCATAACTTCTTCTTCACAGAAATGTTTCCCTTTAAAACTATACAGAATACAGTGAAGTGTCCTGAACTGGTCATATTATCTCAGGTGAGGCCTCGTTAAGCAATGGAGAAAAAAGTTTCTTCGGCTCTTTAATTCAATAATTCACGTAGAACAGAAACAACAACGACAGTAATAGAATAAAAATAAATTCTTAACACCAAACATATGAACACACAAAAATAAAACACACATTGGTGTCTCACCAGTAATCATAACTGTCATCCCAGTTGTCAAAGTGCACTAGTAAGCGATCTTCAACAATATCAGCTATGGTCGCCACACACACCAAGGAAGGGTTCTTCCTGTCGATGGCCTCCAGCTTCATTCCAACCTGAAATTCTTTAGGTATTGGCCCATTCTAACACAGCACCAGAAGGGGAAGAGGCAAAAAGAGAGAGGACACCAAATTGGTCTGAACTACTGTCAAAACTTCTATGATGTTTAGCATCAGCAAAGTCTACAGGGGTCAACAGGAAGGAAGTGCCAGGAAAGGAAAACTATCCAGCAACTGTTCAGTAGTTGATTTTCATAACAATGACCCAGGAGACTAGTTCCTTTTTTTTGCTTTTCTCTTTTATTGTGCTGGTATGTTTTCTTTCCCTGTCATCTTCACTTTTACCCCCTTTGATTCTTAAAATAATTTGTATTAATTTTAAAATATGATATGCACTGAATACAGTAGTATCAAATAATTTTATCTGCTGCCCATTAGCTTTCAAATAGTTTCCAAATACCACTGTATAAAACAGTACTAAAGAGGTGCTCTATAGCACCAAATTATCATTTAATTTGATTACTGAATCAAGAAAGGGAGATTTCTCAATATTTAAGAAACACATGCACAAGTCCATGAACAAAATTATAGTTAAAAATGCAAATGCTTTTTTTTTTTTACTATCTGTACTTTTTTAGTATAAAAATATAAATGATAGTTTACAATAACATAACAATTCCAAAACCCACTCTTCATATAGCTATAATTAGCCAGTCTTGGCTGGGATTTAGGGAGTACACACACAGTATCTGGGGATTAAAAGAGGGTTTTTTTCTACTTCTCTTTTATCTATACTAATTTTTATTTTCCTTTAGCATATTCCATTTTTAAAGCAATTTCACATTTTTAAAATTTTTTTATTTTAGATTCAGGGGGTACACATGCATATTTGTTATATTGTTGCAGTGGTGGGGATTGGGTCTCAGGGGCTTCCCCAGATAGTGAACATAGGTAGCCCCACAGGTAGTTTCTAAACTCTAACCTCCCTTTTTCTTGCCCCCTTATTAGTGTCCCCAATTTCACATTTTAATAGCTCCCTTTTCTTGATGCAAATCTATAAAACACATACGATTGTATAACGTTGACTTCAAGATCACAAAAGTGAAGTCTTGATAAATTCAGCCTTCACAGTGACACTGCTAGCAGGTAGCAGTGCTGACGCCTGACACGTGCCTGCCCTCCCCCAAGTGGGCCAGTGTAACTGTCCCGTCCAAAGAACGCCTAAGAGGAACCTGGGTCGCAACTTATTCTCATTCTCTACAGCAGGTTCATTAGGTTGCTGGGGACACAGGTGGCATAAGGTGCGTGCTCGATCCAAATCCTCAGAACACCCCTTCACTCTCATTTTCATTATGCTTAAATATATCTAGGCTGGGTATATCCAAGTCTGCCTGGAGTATCTCATGATTTCAGAGCACCAAAACTAAGCTTAAAAGACTAACTCACTGGACGCAAAAGGAAACAGGACTTTTAAAGAACATTTTTAATTTCAGTAGGCCTTAAATATAAAGTTTTCGACTTTTACCATCTAACTAATGTATTTAATAGTACTTTTGAAGGAAAAGAAAAGATATACCCATAGGAAACTGTGGCAAATTAAGTGAGAAAGTCATAGAAAGTTAAGAGTTTCCATGATTAAAGGATAAGAATACAACAGAACATCTAGTGAATTTTAAGAAATTTAAGTTTAGGGGAAAATTTGATTTATACTGAGGAAGAAAATACTTACAGAATTTCTGTTTCTGAATAATTTCTTGGGAGCATTTTGCAATTTGCAGGCTTTCAAGTAATCCATCCAAACAAACTTATCTTTTCTATAACCTAAAAAAGATACAGATTACTCAAAATACCTGCAAGATAGACCCACATGCATGTTAAATGTATTATTAGTCTTCTGCCATACATTCAATATCCTTTGCAGACCACCTAAGATTTAAATTAAAATCTCCAAATTGTTTCAATGTGTTTACTATATTAAGTTCAAAACTACTGATGGAGACTTTGCATCATGCATGTGATTCCCTACAAATTTTAATATTTTCTGATATGGAATCAGTTCCCTGGTGGCTTGATGGGAGTCTTGTCTCACCTCAAGGCTTTTCAGAATGAGCAGGCTAAGACAAGAGTTTCTGCACGTGTACCCACTCCTGAGAAAGCCATGACACGGAGACTATGCGAGGTCCTCATGGAGCAGCAATCTAGGATGTCAGGCATGTGGGAGAAACTACAGAAACTCTTTCCCAATCTGAAGACCATTAGGGAGCTCCAGCTTTCTGGTCCATATGTTTACAAGCTTCTCATTATCTTTACCTTCCCATTCATATGCTCTCACACTGGGCTACTCCGCATGACATGGTCCCCCTCCCTCCCTCCCTCCCTCCCTCCCTCCCTCTCTCTCTCTCCATCCAAGTCTCCGTGGGATATCATGTCCTCAAAGAGGCCTTTCGTGATTCATCACGCTCTATTAACCCTCTCCTCCTCAGAAATGAAAGCTCCACGGAGACAGAGGCATTGTGTGTTTTACTTGCTGTGAGTCCCACCCCCCAAAGTTTCTTCACATAGTAAGGGCTCCATAAATACCTACTGAATTAAGGAAGCTGCTGCCTGTCACCAGGTTCTCTGAAATCCAGCAATCTCAAGAAACTCTACCAACAGCCACAGCAGACCCCAAGGGATACCCTGAGATGATTACTAAGAATAAAATAACTATATACTGACTCCAGAAGTTGCCATAGTTGTCAAATCGTCTAACACCCAAGCAGGAGACTGTGTATACAAGATTGTCCACTAGTGTCTCACTTGATCACATACTCACTCATTTGCACACAGCAAATAAAAAAGGTACCGGTCACAACTACCTGGCTTAGGTTCATCTAGCACATTTTTTAAAAGATGAGATTTTTCGTTCCCATTTAAAACAATAAATTTTGAAAATTTTTTGTCATAGTTCCATGTTTTCCATGACTCCTTAGTTTGAAACAAATTATTTGCAATGAATCAAGCTTCTTCACCATGTGGCATCATTGATGGAAGTAATTCATTTCAACCATAATTTAAACAACAGGTTTTTTTTTTCTTTAAGGTTTAATAAACTTTATATAAAATAAAATACTTAATATCTTATTTCTGCCTTAGGCAACTTACCAGAATATTTGACCTAAACAGTCAATGATGCTTTTCTTTTAAATATATTTACTTCTAAGAATAGTATTATTATAGTCTTACTACTCTTTATGGATCAAATTTCATTTTGGAAAACAATTCACACCAGGCTCTCATATTAGTATTTCATGAAATGTTGTTAAAATAAAACTAAAATACAATTGATTCTCTTTCCAGTTGGTAAATGTATCCTGGCTTACCCTTAGGGATGTGCAGTTCATGTTTGGTCTTTTCACACCATCCTACTGGATGAATGTCAGGGGAACCAGCATTGGTCCAAAAATCATAGCAACTTAAATAGCCATCAAAATGAAGTCTTAGACGGTAACCACACACCTGCAAAAACGAGAAGGTTGCAATCATTAAGTATCATATATTTGAAGTAGACACAAAATTCATGAAATATTCCTATATTTTGTCAGTACCATCAACATATAAAAGCCAGTCCTTCCACCCAGATGTTCTCATTAAAGAACAAATTTGACATCTGATTAAGACAAAATGGGGATAAAATAGACACTGTCGTATAGGCATGTAGAGCCTTCAACAAAAAATTACCCCTTTACCCAACCTAGGAATCTGAGGTCAACTTATATAATCATTATCTGATGAGCTTATGTATTAATTCAATACCTGTCAAATATTCCTTTTGTAAACCTATCTCCTGCTGTCTGGCTTGGATTCATATTCCAAGACAGTATAAGCTAAAGTACAATGCAAAACTAAAATGGTTATGGGCTTATTTCAACTCTAACATATGCATCTAGAATATGCAACAAAGGGAATAATAAAACAGTCTGAGAAATACATCCTGTAGACAAGCAGTACAAGTTTAATAGCCATAATCAATCAGTAAAGTAAATGAATGTGATTTCTATGTTCAGCACTATTAGAAACCCAGAGATCTTTTATTGATTTAATAATGTTTAGTAAATATTACATTTTATAAACCATTTACTTTCATCAATGGCTCTCCACTCTATAAAATTTTCATAAAGTGCAAATATTTTAATAAATATATAATTCATACGTATAATATTCATACGCATTTCTCATTAGTTCAGCTAAAATGTGAATAATTATGTCTCTGCTGACAGGTAAAAACAACATTGTGGGATTCACAGATTGTTATAAACCTCAGGTGAAAACTATTCACCAATTAAATCAGGAGTAAAGGCTAGTTGATGAAAGGCTTATTAGAAAATTCATCTTCAGAGAAGGAAAAAAATTCATTAAGAAACACAGTTTCACCCATCACTGACTAAAATAAATCCATAATGCACTGGCACCTGTTTATGATTTAAAAGCGCTCAAATTTGTTATTCTCTAGAAAATTATCTTTCTGTCACTATGCAGTTAGCCCAAGACAATAAGACCATCTCTTACCTCAGCTACAGAAAGCACACAGAATACAGATGGATGCCGGGGATCAACACCTTCTAATCTCATTCCAATCTGAAAACCATTCTCGTGCTCTGGGAAGGACTGATCCTATGACATTTCATGATATAACATTAGCCATTGCGATTTACTCACTATTTTATTTTAAGACATATGGCGTCACTTACATATGACATTTAAAACAACCTAACTCATAAAAATAGAGAATAGAATGGTGGTTACCAGAGGCCGGGTGGGGGGAATGAGGAAATGTTGGTCAAAGGATACAAAGTTGCAGTAAGACAGAAGAAGTATTTAAGGTAATGGATATGTGAATTAGCTTGATTCAATCACTGCACACTATATACATATATCATAGCATCACTTGAACCCCATAATTATATATGATTATAGTTTGTCAAAAAGATGAAATAAAATAAGACTTTTTTAAAAAAATTTACTTTATACTTTGAAAGCTTAGTAATACAGATAAAGACAGAATTCTGCTCTTATATATAATTGGCCCTCAAACATGGTTTCATTATTTTAATATGCTTTGAAATAGTTCATCTGTGAAGCTTTAGTCCTGTGAATGTCCTATTTACTCAATTTTGCCCATTTTTCTCTTCTGTACTCTGGACAATGCCTTGTTGATTATGTGGATTACCTATTCTCTGTCTGTGACTTGTCTCTTCACTTTGTTGACAATGACTTTGTCATAGATAAACTTTTCATCCTAATACAGTGAAAGGCACTGATACACTATCTATACTCTGCACATCCCCACCTATGAAATCCTTCTTAACTCTGAAGCTACATGGATGTTCTCCTGGTATTTTTTGAAAGTTGATGAAAATTTTTTCTTCATATTTAAGTCTATAATATAACTGGAAATTTTTTATGGTGTGAGGTATGGACACATTTTTCATATGTAAAACAAATTATCCAATAACTTTTTAATATTTCATACTTAAACTGAACTGCAAAGTTAGCTCTGTTACATCTGATTTTTACATATTTTTACATATTTTCTGGGTCTTTTATCCTTTTTCATTAACTTATTTGCCTATATCACACAGTTTTATTTGCTTATAATGTATCTTTCTATCTGGACAGCAATCATCACCATATTGTTTCTTTTTTTTAAATTCAGAAACCTGTTCTCTCTCCATTTAATGTAATCATTTTTGTCAAAGGTGTTTTTTCAATTTTCACATAAAACTTACAAAATATTTTCTTATATTTATTTCTGAGTACCTTTTAATGTTTATTGCTGTTGTTAATGCAACTTTTTCACAACAAAATCTCTCATCTGTTCCTATTCATTATTATTGTCTTTAGTACTGGTATTGTTTCCCACCACCTTGCCAAATTATCGTTCATTTTGAGAGGACAGTTTTAAACAGATTCAGCATTACTAGTTAATGTATTCTTAATTGCAAATAAACTTACACTAATGAAAAGTGATTATTATCATCTAGATCTGTTATGTCTAAATCTGCTTTTTAATCACTAATTATATTACTATTTCATAACCCTTAATACCTGAGGTGTATTCTTTAAAAAGTTATTCATTTGAAAATAATGTCAAACAAAAACTGCAAGAACAAAACAGTGCAGAGAACATAGGCATAGTCATTGTTTGGACTCATGTATTGCTAACATTTTACTTGCTTTGCTTTAGCATTTGTTTCTCTCTCTCTCTCTCTCTCTCTCTCTCTCTCTCTCATGTTTGTCTGTGTATATACAGAAATAGACACAGAGAAAGACATTATATGGATATGGACATAATTTTCTCAGAACCATTTGAGGGTCCTTTACCCCTACATATTAAATATTTGTCCCTAAGAGCAGTTGTATTCCCTAAGTATAGAAAATTTTCTCACATAACCTGAGCTCAGTTACTAACTTCTGTAAGTTTAACATTTATACAGTATTTTTTATTGTAAATATATACTAGCACTAGTTACATCATTTATTCCCTTTACATGCTAATTATAACACAAGGAAAACTCTACTTGTCAGATTAATATTAAATGTTCCTTCACATGAGAGACTACCTTAATGTGAATATACTTTTTACCTCTTCTATTCCTGCCACTAAATCCCAAGTCAACATAGCGTTAATATATTATAAATATAATTTAAGCAAAGCGTTAGACTATGAATCTAATATCAGAAGTTTAGAACTTCTTATTTACCGAGAAAATATGTTCAAACTGCTAAGGCACGCCTCTATATTTAACAGTATGGGTCTCTCAACTCTTAAAGGCTAGAAGTACTTTATTGGCCTGAGGAGTCAAAAATTTGATACAACTCCAAGTAATAAATACATCCTCTTATTTCATCCAGACCTCACTAATTATTCTAATTCTACCCATTATTATGACTTAACTGACACCTATAAAGCGTGCTCTTACCCTAACTACATAAAGATGTCTATTACATGGGCCTCTATTACCAGTCTTATCCCAACTATAATATTCGTGTAATCAGTCTGAGAAGTATTAGCACTGAATAACTATTCAAGTCACGAAACTCCCACTTAGTTTCAAACTAGATTACTTCTCAATAATTTTGTACCAGTAGCACTTTTCATCGGGTGATCAAATATGGAGTTTTTAATATGATATATACACTCAGATCCTGACATTAACCAATTATGTGTTTACTTATATTCTTTATAATAATATTTCTAAGTGACCACCAATAAACTATTTCAACTTTTTATTGGATGAGAAGAAGTAGGGATTATAGCATTCTTTTTTTGTTTTGTTTTGTGTTGAAACAGGATTTATTGAGAGAACAGAAACGCTCCCACAGTGGGAGGGGACCCGAAGGGGTTGCCCTATAGCGTTCTTATTCATGAGCTGATGGTATAATCAGATGCAAACACAGCTCGACAAGAAATTTTATATCATCACATTACAGATACTGGGTTCAACTTAACAAGAGTATAATTTTTACTATACTTCAACACATGAGAATTCCAACAAATATTTATTATTAACTCCAACTTTTATATTATTCTACTATTTGGCCTTCTGCTAGCATTGATCCATTCATCTTCCAATTTTGTCCCTTTATACCACAGTGTGCTTTACAACATTCTCCTAGCTGCCTACTTCTGCAAAATAGTCTCTTTAGTCTCCCTTAATTTAAACATTTCCCATATCTTGTCTTTTATTCCACTGACATTTTCTAAGAATATAGGCTTTCTCTTCTCCTGATTTTTCAACCACAACGTCACTTGTTTGGGGTTTGTCTGAGGCTCCATCAGAATTTGATTTAGGTTATGCAGAATTTGATTTAGGTTATTTGCCAGACACTCCATGGCTGATGCTGTACCTTTCTTAGCCAGACATTCCATGGGTGATGCTGTATCTTCCTCAGGGTATCACACCCAGAGGAGCCTGATGCCCATCTGTCCCTCATCAGCAATGCTAACTTTGATCACTCCGTAACAACACTGTCCAATGTCCTCACTATAATAGTTACATACAAAATACACATATGCATACATAATAAACATGTGCACATACACATCTAAACATATATGCATATTTGATACATCTTAACTGAGACAGATAAGTCTAATACTAATACCAAACCACAAGGCTTGTTCTGCCTTCCTCAACCCATTTTGTATTTCTCCTCTAACGAAGACAACACATTCACTCATTTACTAAACCCTACAGTATATTTCTTATACCTTCAGAACTGTTTTACTTACACCGCCTTAATAATAAGCAAACTTATTAAAAATAGTTCCAGCTGGTTTTTTATGGCTCTTTAAAATTTTGTTGTTGTTGTTTTTAGATTCAGGGAATACAAGTGCATATTTGTTACACAGGTCACTTAACTCTGACATTTAAGTGAGAAGATGTGGTGTTTGGTTTCTGCTTCTGAGTCAGTTCATTTAGGAAGCTCTCTCCAGTCAGACTTGGAAGGGTACCATGACTTTGCTATCGTGAACAGAGCTATGATGAACATAGGAATACAAGTTTCTTTCTTTCTTTCTTTTTTTCATAATGATTTCTTTTTCTTTGGGTACATAACAAGTAGTGGGAATGCTGGGTCAAATGGTAGTTCTAATTATAGTTATATAAGAAATCTCAATATTGTTTATCATAGGGATTGAACTAGTTTACATTCCCAACAACAGCGCATAAGCGCTCTCTTTTCTCCACATCCACACCAACATCTCTTGTTCTTTGACTTTTTAATACACAGCCATTCTCACTGGTGTGAGATAATAGTTCACTGAGGTTTTAAATTTTAGTTATTGGATGATTAGTGATTTTGAGCATTTTTTTTTTCTTGGCCACTTGTATGTCTTCTTTTGAGAAGTGTCTATTCATGTCTATTCATGTCTTTTGCCCATTTCTGGAAGGAATTCTTTGTTTTTACGTTGAGTTATTTGAGTTCTTCATTGATTCTGGACATTAGTCCTTTGTCTGAGACACAATATGCAAATATTTTCTCCCATTCTTTAGGTTTTCTGTTCCATTTGTTGATTATTTATTTTGCTGTGCAGAAGCTCTTTAGTTTAATTAAATACGATGTGTCTATTTTAGTTTTTGTCACATTTCCTTTTGGGGTCTTCATCATAAATTCTTTGCCTAGGTCAATGTCCAGAGAAGTTTTCCCTAGCTTTTCTTACAGGATTTTTATAGTTTCAGGTCTTACATTTAAGACGTCAATCCATCTTGAGCTAATTTTTATATATGACGAGAAGTAGGATTCTAGTTTCATTCTCCTGCACATGGCTAACTAATTTTCCCAGCAACATTTATTGAATACAGTGCCCTCCCCTGTTGTTTATTTTTGTCAGCTTTGACAAAGATTAGTTGATTGCAGGTATGTGGCCTTATTTCTGAATTCTCTATTCCACCACAATGTTTGAGTTATTATAACCTTGTAGAATAATTTGAAGTTAGGCAGTGCAATGCCTCCATATTTGCTCCTTTTACCTAGGATTGCTTTGGCTACTTGGGATCTTATTTAGTTTCCAAATATAAACTTCGGTGTTTTTATTTTTCTAGTTTTGTGAAAAATGATATTGGCATTTTGATAGGGATTGCACTGAATCTGTAGATTGCTTTGGGCAG